TATTCACAGACGCCAACACAGTCACGCACGCACATACGTCAAGTTCGCCCTTGTGATGAGTTTCGAGCGCTTCGATTCTGCTTGCGTTTGTAGCTTCCCTGTCCTTCAGCGCCTTTGCCTCTTTCGCCTGGAGTGACAATTGGTCGTTCTCGTCCTGAAGTGTTTTAGTCTGTGCGTGGAGTGCCACAATGCGATATTTAAATTGTGCCTACGTACTATAGACCAGCAAATGTACTGAGAAGGAGTATCAATTACATTTCATACATCGGCCTAGAATCGTTGAGAGCACATCGACATATGAGACCAGTGTAGTGGCGGTGATGCTGGCCTTGAGTTCTGGGTCCGAGTGGCATGTGTGATTGGAGCTCGAACTTCGCCGCGAATACATACAAAGTTTCACATCACGCCTATCTCCACATCTTGATTGATTCAAAGACATACAATCGTACACGCACACATGTCAGTAGGTACTTCACGTACTCTCAGAAAATGAACAATCGAATAAATACATATATTGATACACGCTCAGGTGGATAGAGAGAAGATATCAAACCTTGATTGTAAGCCAGTATCCATGTCCCATTAGAACTATTACATGCCCTGTAACACTAGTACCAACTGCCACAAGTAATGCAATGCCCCCCAGCTTGCTTTAGGTCTTTCTGTGGTTTCCAGAATTGTTTCAGACGCCTGTGTATGACCAAGCCATTTTTTATTACACGCTAGCATCATCACATACACTCACTCATTTACACATAGCAGGATCAAGGCATACATGTATCTACCAAAGCAAGACGAAACATTACAAAATAAGGTAGCATCCATCACACACACTCACTCATTTACACATGCCAGGATCAAGACATACATGTATCTACCAAAGCAAAACGGAACATTACAAAATAAGGTAGCATCCATCACATACACTCACTCATTTACACGTGGCAGGATCAAGACATACATGTATCTACCAAAGCAAAACGGAACATTACAAACTAGGGGGCTTGTCACAGTCCATCGAAAGGCCACATACAAGGGCTACTGCTTTGGCTTTCGCCTGTGCTTCCTTCTCCAGCTCCTTATTTAGCTTCCGCACTTGTGCCTGCTTCTCCCGTGTGGCTGCATCGTATTCTGCACGCAACTCCTCCAACTGCTTATCGGTGTCTTCGTACTGCTCTGTCAGCTTGACGTTCACCTCGTTGAGTTCGTCCTGCGCGAAATGCGGTGGTAGACTCAATACTTTGGTGCATAATCATATGATACGTAC